AGGAAAAAGGGCTGTGCACTTCGGTTGGTCGTTTTTAAAACTAACAAAAGCGGCAAATCTACAGACCCACCGATAAAAATTTAGGGCAAAACACACCAAACATAAAATACGGGTCAACTTTTTCTCTAGCTGCGTAATCGAAGAATGGAACAAAATGCCTAGTTCTGGCGAAAATGTTCAGATGATTATAATAAGACTTGATGGCATGTTACTCAATGACCGCCTATTTAGCTCACGCGAACTTGTATAATTGACCTTTTTAGATTCGTATATATATGAATTTTTCAGCGTATGTTTATAAATTGGGTTTTCAACAGCCTTGCCAATCTCACTTATATATACTGAATTCTAACGAATTATAACTGAAAAGACTACTCCAGCCGAATATGTTTCCCCTACCATATAAAAGATGCGGTATAACCTACATCCTGCACCATCCGCAAACATGACTGTTTGCTAGATCCTGAAGGTTTCTTGGATTTCACAAACCTCAGACAAATATGCGGTCATGTGGACGAGACTAAACGCGAATGTACCTGCATAGAACACCTGATGTTTTCCTTCAGTCACCGGATAGTTTGTCCGTGGAACTCATTCCCGAACAAAGTGATGGCCCTCAATACCATGGCTGTGTTCAGAAGGCACTGCAGAGCTACCTACGGCCGATCGTAAAATTCGCTTCGTGATAATATACCATGTGTCGCAGCTCTACGCGTTGGATGCAATGTGGTTCTGCAAACCTTTATGCCGCTGTATATATTTGCACCTTTGACTTCAATTATTTATCAGTATGTTTTGAAGAGTTCTGCCCGAAGTCGTGAATTGCATACACAAATATAGTCCGAACCCTACGTCGGCCGACTAAATGCCATGACTGCATCCTCCAGACCACTGAGCTAACGTGCATTTCGCCTCTGCAGGCCAAATGGAACTCCATAACATAATATTTAAACGGCCTAGTCACGAAGCATCTGGAGTTATAAAACTACCCTACAGTTGCTCATATCCAAAAATATTTAGCGATTTAACAATACCACCCAGTCATTTTTATCTCTTGGCATTTGCCTTCAACCACTAGTTCCATGACTTATCTGCAGGTATATCGCGAATGTGTGATGTTGAGGTCGAAATTGCTTGACATTTGTTGTTTAACAGTTAGCCACTTTGTTGCAGGAATGAGGTTTTCATTGTTGGCTTCCCTGCTTTTACTTCGCAGTAGGAGTACTGCGAAGCGTAACGGCAAATCTGAAGAGTCCAAATTCGCCTGTATGAGTGAGCCTGACGGCATCTGTCCTCAATGATTCAGTCTTGGATATCTATACGGTAGTTTATCAACAAATTATTATCAAATGAGAAGTTAAGTGCTTCAGCAGCATGTGGGAGCTCCACCGCGGCAGGCACTCCGTCTCAGGCTCCAACAATCCTCCACTAGACGTTCCGTCGGGCGTTTGTAGGGGGCAACTTCCCTGCTGTTTGTAAGGGTGACCATTCAGACGGTGTGTACCAGTCAATTCGGGAAGGGAACAGGTTAACTTCTGCCAGTCTGACTTCGTACCACAGATGGCCAGTTTGGAAAGTCTAGGCGATCTATTCCGTGGTTTGTGGACCATCAAAGAATTTACCCCAACTTATACATCTACTCTAAGCTCGTGGTACTTCGTAACGTTCTACATATGATAAAGATTAACTGTCAAAAAGTACCCGTCGACAGACCTTTAAATGATCTTGTTACATTACCCTCATTACTGACTGATACTGTCATTGCCCTACTTAACATTTACGTCTGTAGCCACATGTATGTGGGTTTTTGATGATTTAACGAAACCTGTCAAGAATCAGTCGATTAGGTGAAACAGACGACGGTGTGATCAAGAATACTCCGGATATTGTGGGTTTGACAAGCTTCCTGAGTTCCTTTAGCAAGACGCCGTCAAATGAAATAATTGTCAAAAGTGCAAATTTAATTTGTTCATTAATATTAAACAGCCCACATAATTCCCTAAAATTTTAAATAGCGAGAAAGAGTCTTATTGTTAAGATATTGTTTTAAAATAGCCTAGTTAAACAAAAATCGTCAAACGCCGAGTTCGATCGTTTGTTCTGGCGAACGATAGGATTTTATGATCTTTTTAATCCATATAGTGTGGTATGCGTGAAGTCTTAGAAAGTAATTTAAGTTACAAACAAATCCCTATCACACGAGATACCAGTGATATTGAGATGAATAATATGATCAGAACGGGAGATATATTTTTTTATGTTGACAGTCTAAGATAAATCGAATAACATAGGTTTTGGTTAGGACAATGTGCATAGCCACATGGGTTTACAGACCACCATTTCTCGCTCTGTGGCGAACCGTCCTTCGTCTCCTTAAGATTCGCCGACACGCGAAACAGGTCCACGTATGCAGGACATGGCACGCTGTCTTCATCTTTTCGCTTGAATTCCCATGTGCATTATTCTGATATCAACCCACTTCTTCTTCCAATGAACCCTCTACACACCTTATTAGGATCTGAAATTCTTAATCTGCTTTAGCTTTTCCGTTGCCGCTTCATTTGCCTAATGATCTCATATTTATGATATAGTACCTCAGCGTTTCTAAGCCCGGTTTCGTCTGTTAACATGAATTCTTGACAAAATGTTCTCCGGTCAATATGCGTTTCTTTATTTTTATGGAGATAAATTAATAGGGATATTTGCTTTGCGTAGACGTTCTTTGGTAGCCTGAGGACGAATTATGAGCGTTAATGTCAGTAAATAACTTTGTAAGTCCATCCCAAGTCCTTTCACATAGTCATTTGGATTGAACACTGCTAGCCTTATTGGAATGGTTGCATAAGGTTTTCACTCGACAAACCAACAACGGACCTTCAGTAGAAGCGAGGACCTCAGCTAAAATTCCACGTTGGCTAACAGTCAAAACATTATCTTGCAATCGGTGCCTGGTGGGTGAGGGAGAAGAGAGTGCGAAAGATGTTGCACAGATTTCTGATCGCTATTAACCGATCTAAATGTAAGTCATCGGCGCTGCACGCAGTTAATAAGGCACACGAAGAAAGTCATCGGTTACAATGCCCCAGTCCTCAGTCACTAGGCAGAATCCTGTATACTTGCTTCCTTGACTTTACTAGTTAACTCCTTGCTGATTCCCACGACTTCTCACCAAATTGGCAGGGGTTATTACTTATACCGTTTCTTACTAGCAAAGCAGCCTCAGCCGAATAAAATCTCGTTAACTCCTTCCAGGTATGCAAGCACCAGCGGGTACATGATGTTATGTTTTTATGCAAAGAACAGTTTTTGGGGAAGCCTTGTTCATAATGCTCTTGTAATTGTCCTCCTCAATAGATGACCACACAGACGGTCCGTCCGGCCAATTCGAAGAATTCATTAATGTCTAGGGCGCACACACGGCCACTGACAATCCCGTATGTCTAAATGAGATCGCCGCGTATTTGCCTGTAATTTTGAGGAAACAGATTTAGTTTAGCTAGTCTATTTTTGTAAGGTAGATGATCAACATTTTTGACCACCTTCGTAGCCGTCGTCTGTATTCTTCCCAGTTGTTGCTAATTCGTCTTGAACCACGGTCGCTAGGCCTGAAATGCATTCTCTACGTGAGACCGAACTAATGCCCCGTATGTTTTTCCGAACAGCTCCTTACTGATCTGCACAACTGCTCGCCTCAGCGCAAATAAAATTCGCATCGCGCATTTGGTTGCCCTTTGACGCTGTTACGATGGTTTCAGTGAGGCGGTCAGTAGGACGCCAAGGACTTTCTGTTCCACAACATTTTAAAGGGGCTGCCCGTCGAGGATGTATTGAAAGGAATCATGTTCCCTACTGATCCTTCTGCTGCAGAGCCTCAGAACCACACATTTGTACACATAAAAATTGAGGAGTCAACGAGCTGGCCAGCGTTTAGGCGACGGAGACTGTCTTGAAGAGCGTATTTGTCTGCGTCAGATCTGATGGCTTTCCACAGCCAAACATCATCAGCAAACATGACGGCATTGTATCCCAGCTCATCGACGTAGTCGTTTATGTAAACTAGGAATAGCAACGACCCCATGACAGAGCCCTAGGGGACACCAGTTAAAACGGCGGTAGGATTTGGCGCCGAAGCGTCAACACACACAGTTTGTGATCTCCCTGTAAGGAAATCAGCGATACATGTCAGAAGCTTCCCTCTTATCCAAATTTCAGACATTTTGCAGGTCAGGCGTCTGTGTGGGACTCTGTCGAACGCCCTCGTGAAGTCCGTGTAGATGACATGTAATCCCTTAAGCGAATCAGGCTAAATAAAGCCGTGGCACTAAGTGGAGGTCGG